ACTATAATTGATAGTGCTATATTTTCACTCCTTTTCCATTCAGCCTGCAAGAACATCCAAGTGGTCGAAGCACTTGTAGAACAATAGAAAGTGGAATCTATCCAAAGTCCTGGCAACATCACCAACAGGTGTGCAAGACCGTACACAGCCACACAGTATAACAAAATGCCAGGAGCCAGAAGAAGCCCTTTCAAATCCAGGACAGAACTCCTGAACCATCAAGCTGGAAACAACTAGCCCTTAAGGCAGACGAAAGCGTCAGGTCAGGATTCAAACTCACCTATTCTGAAGCAACCAAAATTGCGCAGTAGGATCTATAAGAGAAAAAAAGACAAACAGAACCATCCCAGGGAATGCCACTAACAGCCCCAGAATTCTCACAGAGAAGACCAGAAGTGATAACCCCTGGACTACCAAGGCTGACAAAAAGGTAAAAACTCCAAAGCCATGAATCAGTTCCAATGCTTCCCTGATCGTTTGAAAACAGGCAATATCTGGGCAAATGGAGTCCCACTGACTTCCAACGGCTATTCCCTAAATAGGAGGACATTCAATTCTCCCAGAATGTAGATGCCCCAAAGGGAATGAACAGTAAGCCAGCAACTATTGAAGACCCACAGCAAGTAAAGGAATACAAAACGTTATGGATGGCCGGGGCAGCCAAAAGCATTTGTGAAAACTACAGAAACATAAAGTACCCCAGACAACAAGGGCCAAGACGAATCCCTTCGGATTGCAGGAGGGACTATTGGATACGAATCAAAATATGGAGTAGACAAAAGCCCAAGATGGGACAGGGCCCCTAAGTACGGAAGTAGGTGAAGCTTGAATCAAGGCAGAAAGCAGAATGCCAGCTAGTATCCACCTGAATCACTTCCCATACATAGGCACCACCAGTTAGGAGGTTAAGAGCCCGCATGACCACAAGGGTAGGAGGACATCCCCTAGCATTAGTGTAGGAATGTGAAGTCCAGAGTGCCGGGGGCCTGCCCTAGGCCAAGTGGTGGGAGTTACAAAATAATATTGCTTGACCACCAGAAAAGACAAATCTCCCCTAGCAAAGTCCCAATCAACTTCAACTGGGCAAAAAGCACTCATCTCCAGAGACACCCTGCAAACAGTTCTCCACTGGGAGACTGACACTGATACTCAGCATGTGTGCATAGTACTGAGGCTACACATAGGATTTGAACTGGTAACCCAGCGAACATAGAGCCAGAGGTTACAGATTGCACCACCAGCAGACTGAGCATACCGGTGCTGGAGATACAGAAAAATCATGTCAGTATGCGAAGTGGACAGAGCAAGCTCTGCTACTATCTCCTTGTTCCACCCCACTCCTTCCAAGAATATATGGTCCCCAGAGGGAATGTATCTATATTAAACCGGCAAAAACTGATACCACCTATAACAAGGACCAAGAAGCAATGGTACCACAGCTCAGGCACCAATGTCATTATGAGGTCCCCCTGAAAAGGATACCTGCTGCCATACACGTGGTAGAAAAAGACCACCGGCATTGTACCACCATCCCAAAAAGGAGGACCAAGGGTCTGGGTAAACCAGAAGGCCTCAAAGGAAAGATAAAATGGACCCAACTGAACCTAAACTGGGGGTAGCACTATGCCAATAGCATGCAGGTCCATCTGATACCCACAAAGTGCAACATGCACAAATGGGATCACATAGCCACTAGCCCACCCGGCACGACAGGAAGAAACACAAATAAATAACTAAATGTGCCAAGCTATAGCTAGTGAATAAATAGTAAATGGATTAGATGTGAAGTCTGTAAATGATCATAACTCTGAAGATGTCCATATATAAACAACAGTGATGAATATTTCTTGTTCATTCACCAAATGCACTACTTGCACCACACCAGATATAGGAGGTGCTCACCTTATTGATAGACCCCAACAAAAGGACAAATCAGGCAATTCCCTTCTTAACCCCTTCATGACTGAGCTTGTTTTTGGTTTCTGTTCGTAAATGACTGACACACTTTTGACATTTTTGCTGTGTGATTCTTCCACGTCAGTAATATACTTTCTTACAAAGTGCACCCACACATATTATATATTGTTTTTTAGAGGACAGATAGGGCTATATATTTATATCACATATGTGTGTCTAACGCCTCACTTAGTACAAATACAAATTAAAAAAAGAGGAAAAAACGTAAAAAAAAACTTTTTTTCCCAGTTTTGATTTGTAGTATTTTTTTTTAACAAAACCAGCACAGCTAAAAAAAAATGCAATACATACATTCATTTATTTGTCCCTTATTTTTAATTTATTTACACTTTTCACTTTTTTTATACTGACAAATTTTATTTAATTATATCAGGCAGTCATTGTGAATTAATCTCACTATTACTGCTTGATAAATTAATACATTTTTTTTATTATCAGGCTGCTTCAAACTTCAGAACAGCCGATAATAAGTTAGTGACACTGATCCTGCAGCAGTTCAGGATTCAGCTGTCAGTGAATGTTTCAGAAAACTTAAACATTCTACTTTCAAGAATAGATACATTATGTGTCTAATACATAACATTTTGTATCTATTCTTGAAAGTCAAAAGATAAAAAAAAAAAAAAGCCAGAATAGCTTGAGAGAGATATCTCTCGATCTATACGAACTGTCAGAATGCCGGCAAAAGCCGACATGTGTCTCTGCTTTGCTGTGACTCTCAGACACCCGATATTAAGGTATCGGGTGTCTGAAAAAGGTTAACCCTTTCAGTAATGGATCTCTAGATAGTTAGACATCTATTACTGAAAGGTAACCGCTGATTCTCAGCGGTGAGCAGCCTTCTAGTGCAGCAAATAACTCGTCACGTACAGTGTACGTGACGAGTCATTTGGTCCCTTTGTGGCTGGACGTACAGTGTACGTCTCCCGTCACGAAGGGGTTAACCAGGGGAGGGGGCCCTCAGCTCCAATCGTTAACAGATGTCCTCCAATGATGTAATCAGACCAGCAGACATAGCTGTATATCACTTTTTTAGTAGGGAAACAATAACCTCCAATCTTTATCGAACTGTGGGCCTCCTCAGTATAGTATGTCAATACCAGGATCGTATTATCCAAAAAGAGAAAGCAAACACCATACCACGTATGATTATGATTAATTAATGTATGATTTCTTAAAAGAAAATTACTCACATAAAAGCAGTGGTAACACAGCATGGAATCTCTCCTAGGAGTGTATGCAGGAGTTTCGAATGACTGCGACCGTCAGTCATAGACATCAATGTGACATCAGATGCTCCGCCCTACACGCGTTACATCCAGCATGACTTCATCAGTGATGGAACTGCTTTTATGCTTAGGTCCTAACTCCTTGACACTAGGGGAAAAAAAGCTTCTAGCTGTTAGGGGGTTTGACCACCATCAGGGGCCTCCCCTAGGCTGTGCTTTCGTTTTGTGCCTAGTGTCCTACGCCTGAAGGTGGCGCTATATAACCCAATTGGTCCAGATCCGAAGATCCACTGTGTCCTTTAATGAATGAAAGATAAAAAGTCATTTTCAGTATCAGCCTGACAAATTCTGCAGCGGGAGGTACGTTGCGGTGCCATTCATTTCAATGGCACCCCAAACACGCCTCCTGCGTTCCAGGGCAATGCGATAACAAAATATTGTGCATGCAGTTTTATTCTGAAGTAAACTTTATGTTTGTAACACACCATTTGTGTATTTTATTTTTAATAAATAAAATAATCGGGAAACTAATCGATTATGAAAATAATCGTTAGTTGCAGCCCTATAAAATACCATCGATGTAGCAAGAATCTTGATTTAAGTCATGAAGCAAAAATACCATGCAAGGCATGCTGGGTAGAGGATGGGTTATCTGAAAGCTGGCTAATGATTTTTTTTTTAGTTGTTTGCCAATGCCTCAACCTCCTGGAGGCGGCAGCATGGCTAAACTGTTTTTAAATGCCCATGTCCCTCAGCGGATGATAAATAAATGTTAAAACTTAAGTGTGCATAATCTTAGCACACACCCTCTCCTTACCCTAGCGCTGGAACTCTCACGAAATGCCCCTCCACTAAAGCTTTTTAAAACCCCCTTTTTTCCCCCTTCCTTTCCTCCTTCCTCTCCCTCTGTTCCCAATCCCCCAACATCAATCTTGTTCTCCAAGTCAACAGTTTTTGGCAACCGAACGACTGGGCTCAGGCATAATCCCCAATTCCGGTCACCAGGACCTTTCTATGTTTAGGTGTTATGCATATTGCAAAACACCTACCCAGTTCACTTACTAATGTACTGTACAATATTGCCTGTGTCTTCTATTGCCAGTAAAGTACACTTTGACCTGTATTTTATGTGGAAATAGGTTCTTTAAAACTTTATGAAAACAATAAAAAAAAATAATTGAATCAAAGCCTACCCTAGAGCTCCACCTGCTGACTGGAAAAAATATTCACACACAATTTTCATATTAATTATACGTATTTACCTAAAAACCATGTTTTATGAGCATAATAATACAAAAATACATAAAAGAATATAATTTATTCCCTTCAAGCACAATATACGGTTTTTGTTCTTTGCTTATTTAAACCTGAAAAAGAATGGACTATGCTGGAAGAGAGATTTGGGGCTAATTGATGACTGTTCCTCAAACTAAGGAATAGCTGGAAGCTATGTGCATTGTCAGTGAACCGGCTGACAGAAGCACAGAGCACAGTGAGCAGAGCAATAATCTCATCTGAGAGTTTAGTGTCTAGTCAGCAGACTGGAGGTGTGATCTTCATCTGTCTTTAACACACATCCGGCCAAAAAATTTTTTATTTTGCAGATAACCTAGCGTTCCTATGTGTATTTCAGCTGTATATTTAGTATCATGTCTATAGTTCAGTGTGAAAGCCACGACTTTGCCCACTTAGGACCCTGAGCCACTTGAATGAGCAAACTAACAGAGTCTCTTAAAGATGAAATAGTGATTATTGAAGGCTTTCTGTATACAAAGACGGTAATGTGTAGCTTACCTGTGGAAGGGCGATGTTAAGTTGTCTCTGAAGAGACTCCTTCTCATGACCCAATTCCCGTAAACGCAGCTGTGCTGTGGACAAGCTCTCCTGCGTCTCCCGGAGAGTCTCCAGTAACCGTTCCCTTTCATTTAACATGTTGACCATCAGTTGTTCAAAGTTAGCATCGTCAGAGCCGTAGGTGGAGCCCCGACGGTTGTCCTCATTAATAGTGGGCATTACTTCACACATCATCTTGAAAGAATAAGGTTAGAAAACACACACCAGGAAAAAAAAATAAAAAGGCACCAGGGAAGGGGGAAATTGGCAGGTATAACACCCACAAATCCAATCAAGGCAGACAGGTGGGATGCTAACAAAGTGCAGAAGCAGATCCACGTGTTTCACTTCAGTGATAATGCAGGGAAAGATCAACGTTCACATGAAGGCTGAGTGTACTGCCCAGTCCTGGGCATCTTTTAATACAGCCAGGAAAAGCAGGTTGCACTGTGATAGCTGCTGATGTAGGACAAGCATTCAGGACTCCACTTGTAATAGTCACGGTCCTTTAAATTCCAATATGTGTATATTAACAGCACCTAAAAAAATAAAAATAAGTAGTTTAGATCAATGTTAAACACATGTAATCCAAAGATATTAAGTTAAAACAAATGGGCTTTTTCAAAAAGGCAGGAAGCAAAGTTGAACGTATAGTAACCCAAAGCAATGAATCAGTAGGCTAAAGTCAACACTTCACATAAAGCTCTACAGAGAATATGCAGTACCCCCTTGTCCCAGGTTCTGGCTCTGTACTTGGTCTGTCCAAACTATAATGATATTCCACACGAAGAAAGAAGAGCTGCACTCCAGAATTCAATCCCACTATAAAACCTTACTGAACTTAGACGCCATACAAAGCCTGCTTAGGCTTCTACCCTCTGACACGTTTCACGTGTCAGAGGGTAGGAATCATGCCTTCCTCCTCACAAACTCTTTACAGTGTACACTGAGCTGCACTAAGTGTACAATCCCAGCATATGCTGGGACAAATGTATTCCTGCGCACATGCACGTGCGTTACGTCATGCTGGCCTTGCCAATGAAGACAGTCGAAGAAGTTGGCGTGTGTGGTGTGTATTAATAATATTTAAAACCAACAATACTTTCCAAAATTTTTCATAATCTATTTATCATTGTTCTTTTTTTTTTTACTTTTCTCATGAGATCTCGGGAAAGGCATTTTCCTTCCCTGAGATGATGTGCATTGTCATATATCCTAGTCACATGTCCCAGAAATCCAGGAATTTAAAGGAGAGCTAGTAATCTGCCCTTAGTTAACATGGCCACTGTCAGAAGACTGGGAAAGAAAAGAGAAATAAGGTATGGAAAGAATACAAAGCCTGCAATTATCTAAAAGTAAGGGCACGTGTCTTTATTCAACCTCAAATACTATGCAACTATGTATGTGTTTGTAGGGTGTCATTACTAAACATTTCTAAAAGGTGTGTTTGTTGTTATTTTAAAGATATAAGTAAAGATCCACTTTAATATCCAATTTTCATATCAAGTTATTTAACTCAAACTGCTACTGGTATTTGAAATCACGGAGAAACTGCCTAAAAGAGAAACAAAATCAGCAGTAGATGACCATCTGCCTTGGTGTTAAAATAAGCTTCTGGAGTAAAGCTGCTGCTGGGGTCCAAATTTAAAACTCACAGTACAATGAGTGGCTCTTTAGTTATTGATCTGTGTAGCATGAATGGGCAATTCACACCCTGTGTGGTTAGGGGGCTCTTTGATAGGAAAAATGCCATCATAACAAAATACAAGAGAGTTGACTGCAAGTCATCCCCTGATGAGATGGACAAAGGTTGTAGACTGCTAGTTATGTAACCCAATATCTGTTAGCAGTTACCTAAATGTTATTTTTCACTCCTTTGTGTGTGACTTATTTCACTTGTATTCTGTGGGGAGACTTAAATTGCATATATAATCCGTTTCTCTAGGGCCATTGCAAATGCCAGGCAATTGGAGATCTTTTCCAGATCTGTTTACTGAATTGGTGCAGTGTTGGGGTTCTTTATTTCAAGTCATGAGATCACGCCCAAGTTCTGCTGCTATGCCTCCAGTCCGCAGTCGTTGAGGCCATGCAGCATGTATTCTAGGAAGAACACTAGGGAGATGATGTCATTGAGACCACTGCTAGATCGAGGCCTGATATATTAAAGGCTTCCTGGTTGAGCAGGGCAAATAAATGACTAGATGTGCTGATTTTGTAATTTCTAGATATCATAGAAGACATCTAACATCCAATGTATGATATATTTCTTCCAAGATTTTTTTGATTCTTACAAAAAGGACAGAAGAATAAAATCTTGGGATCTGTGAAAGGAAGATGCTACCTTAGGTAGATAAAAAGGATCTGGCTTAAAGGAGAACTATGAGATGAGTGATTTCCACTCACCTCATAAATATACAGAGCTTAGGGTAACGGGAGGACGCTAGTTTGTGTCCTCCCGTTACCCTAAGGAGAACTATGGGGAAAAACACTGACCCCATAGTTCTCCTTTAATAATTTCCCTGTCAGGAAGAACTGTAAGGTGAGGGTCTTTGATGAATAAGGCAGAAAGATCTCCCACTCTTCTGGCAGAGGTCACAGCCAATAAAAAAAAGCCATCTTTAAGGATAACCATTTAATAAAACTATCTTTAATTGGCTAAAAAGGCTTCTTAATTATTCTTCTAAGGACCAGAGACAGATCCCAAGATAGCACAATGTTTTCTCGTATGGGCAAAGAACGTTCAGTAGCTAGAAAAAAACATCTGATTAGCTGGTCCCCTGCTAGCTTTACATCAAGAAATACTGAAAGGGCCAAAACCTGAACCTTCAGGGTGCTAAGTGCAAATATTTCATCCAGACCTTCCTGAAGAAACTCTAGTATAACTGGGACTGAAGGTATCAGTATCTGTTTTTCTAAAGGAACCAGGATGAGAAAACTTTCCATACTTTATTATACATTTTTTTGTGACCAATTTTCTACTGGAGAGAAACTCTGAGAGCAGCCCTTTTTCTCTCCTCTCAATATCCATGCTGTCAAACGAAAACATTCTGGATTGTGATGCAGAACTGGCCCCTGAGAAAGGAGATTCGGAAGGAAGGGCAGCTGCCAAGGAGACAGAGTTGATCTTCTTTGAGGTCCTGGGCACCACATTGGAAGAACCACATGGAAGGCCCAACTCTAAGAAAAAGCATCTAAGCGTCTAGTTCACTTTCCTGTTTCTCCTTGTGGCAAAAAAGTCCACCTCGGGTAACCCCCAATACTTGACAATCTGAGAAAAGACATGTGGATGAAGCCCCCATTCCCCCTGACGAATAGGAGCTCGACTCAAATAGTCTGCCACCACATTGGAGGATGCCCTTGTGTGGACTGCTGACAAGGAGAGAAGATTTCTCTCTGCCCACAGAAGAATCTGAAATGCTACCTCTAACAGTTTGGGAGATCTGGTACCACCCTGATGATTTAAATACGCTACTGTCATAGTATTGTCTGAAAAGATTTGGGGGGTTATGCACTTAGCTGCCGAAGGCTATTCAGTATTCAGCTATTCACTCCAGCTCAGTATGGCGGATTTCAGCCGTACATCTGCTGCCTTCGGTCAGCCAAACATGATCTGCATGTTTGGCTGAGCCGAAGCTCCAGCAGCTCACTCGCTGCCATTTGTCCCTATTCTCATAGGGGCCGAACGGCAGTGAGTGAATAGCTGAATGCCGCCGAGCGGCATTCGGCTATTCTGCTCGCTACCTCCGAGGTAGCGAGCAGAGTAGAAAAAAAAAACTTAAGTAAATGCTCAAAAATGATTTAAATAAAGGTTTAAAACATTTTTTTTAGAAAATATAAAAGGAATTATAAAGAAAGAACAAAAAACACAGCATGGGGCCCCCCTCCCAAACCATACCAGACCCTTTAGGTCTGGTAGGAAAGTTAGGAAGTAACCCATTTAAAAAAAATGCAAATAAAAGTGTGGGGTTCCCCCAAAAGTCATACCAGACCCAAGCAGGGCTTGTCGAAGGGATTGAGTGTGTAGGATCTGAACAGGCTGGTGCTTCTAACAGTACTCGATGGCTGTCATTGATCATGAATGCTTTCAAGGACCATGACGATGCTGCATACCTTTAGCTTTACCCAGAAACAAGTAGGCTGAATGCATGGGGTGCTTCAGCAAGGAGGGCACATAGAGCAGCTGAAGATGAGCAGCAGACTCATCAATGGGGATGTGTTGTGCAGGTGAGCAACAATGACCTGCAAGGTATGTGCTGTTTCAGGGAGGGATGTGACCTACAGCGAAGTGCTGTGCAGGTGAGGGATTACGACCTGTGGGATTGGCATGAGCTGTGCTGCAGAGGGATTGTGTCCTGTGAGGATGTGTTGTATTGGGGAGGGGTGGTAACCTGTGGAGAGGTGCCGTGACAGGAAGGGATGGTGAACTGCAGGCACGTGCTGTGTCAGATAGGAGTGGCAGACCAGGGACCTCAACAACACAACCCTTCAGCTCATGCTTCAATTTAGACACTGAGCTTTTTCAGCGCCGATTTGAGCTGGGCGACTTTGAGAGACATTAAGCTAAATTAAACTACATTGCACATATTTTCGCGCTACATAGCGCTACTTTTGGCATGGACTTCGTAGCTTCTACATTGGGCTGTATCCAATGAAAAGCGGTCTTGATGTGGCATAATTCCTCTTCCTTTTTCCTGCTTATGTTACTGCTTATATTTCTGTGCACCAGTGACACTTCTGTAGCGTAACGTAGCGCGAAAATGGCATGCAAAATCGCTGGTAATGTGTGACACTGAGCTACCCCATTGTAGTCTATTGGGCCAAATCGCACAAAATCTGCCGAAAAATAGGTCATGTTCAAGCGACAAGCTTGAGCTACAAGCTACATGTGAACAGCTCCATTGAAATGCATTGGAAGAGCTACATTGAGATTCATGTTTGAGCGTTTTTTTGAGCGGAAATCGCACTACAAAGCGCTCAGTGTGAATGGGGTCTGAGTGCCAGATGCCGGAAGCAAAAAGGATTTACTTGTAGGCTTGCAGCAACTATGTACATGACAAAGTAGAACATATTAGATTATTAAGGAATGGAGAAAAGGTTAATGAAGGAAGGGAATATAAGATAAAATACATGGATAGAGATCACTGCTTCACAGCCAAACACCTTTATAGATTGAGAAAAATGTATTTTTAAATTTGAGGCACATATTTTGCAGCTTGCATTTCCACACCAGTGTGACAGTCTTGGGAATTAAAACAAATTACAACCCCACCCTGATTTAATGCATAGGCATATCAGGGGGCAACGCCTTGCCTCACCAAGAGGTACTCCCATATAACATGTGAAGACA